CGTGAAATGACAAGGATCAGCCCAGAGTTTGCCATCCCCTATCCATGGCCAGCCCCAAGGCCTCCATGGAAGCCCCTGCTCCAGTCTCTGTCCAGGGTCTGCACTGCCCCCACTTGATGCCCCACCACCACCAGGAAGCCCTCACATGGACCAGGCATTCTCCTGCCTCACCTGCCTGCCTTCTACTTCTGCTCCTGCCAGTCTCTTGCCAAGAGTGCCTTCTTTCTGCCACCCCTGCCAAGCTTAATAAATGACAAAGGTTCCTGGGAGAAGAGCTTCTTCATCACTTTCTTTTTGCTTATACCTTGAGCAAAGCAGGATAAGAATGTCACCTTCCACCTGTACCTATAGATTTGTAAGAAGCCACAAGGTGTGCATTCTCCCACCTGATGCACAGTGGTTCCTTTCCATTTTCCAGTGGACCCCCTGGCCAGATGGTCCATCAAGAATACGGATCTCCTGTGACACACAGCATGTGTCCCTGGGTACTATGGGAAGTTATAGAACAAGTTCAAGTCTAGATCCCCACCTTGTGGGAGCTCAGGGGTAAGAGAATGCTAAATCAAATTTCAAAGGGGCGCCTGGGTGGCATAACAGGTTGAGCATCTGACTCTTGGTTTCAGCTCAGGTCATGATCTCAGGGTCTTGAGATCGAGCCCCATACTGGGCTCCACGTTCAGTGTGGAGTCTGCACGAGAGTCTCTCTCCTTCTGCCCCTCCCCACTGTACATGCACACACACCCTCTCTCTAAAATAAATAAATAAATCTTTTTTAAAAAGAGTCAGAAATTAATAAAATACTGCAGTTAAAAAAAAACACTGGGGCACCTGGGTGGCTCAGTCATTAGACGTCTGCCTTCAGCTCGAGTCATGATCCCGGTGTCCTGGGATCGAACCCCACATCTGGCTCCCTGCTCCGGGGGAAGCCTGCTTCTCCCTCTCCTGCTTCCCCTGCTTGTGTTCCCTCTCTCACTGTCTCTGTCAAATAAATGAATAAAATCTTTAAATAAATAAGTAAACAAATAAATAAATAAAAACACCAACATGTTTCAGAGTATAGAAGCCAAACCCCAACCCCCAAGACCAGTACAAGCAGTGCCCCTTAACAAAGGTATTTCTGTGCATCACTCTGGCAGCTGATCTCATTTCCTTCCATTTTTCATACAACTTTAGAGCTGGAAAGAACCTTAATCTGTTTCAAGTATATTCCAAAACAAAAACAAAACTGGATCATTTATTGAAACATATTGTAATGGGATCAGATGTGTGTGTGTGTGTGTGTGTGTGTGTGTGTGTGTGTGTTAAGGAGGGGGTAGGAGAAGGGATGTGAGCATGTCCACAACCATGGGTAACAGTAGCAGTGCCGCTGACAATTCTATCATGTCTTCCTAAGTCCCACTATAACTCCTCTCCCCAAGCTCTCCACCTACCTCAAACCTCCCACCTTCCCTTTTCCCCACCCGGAAAAGACAACCTCATCTCCCACCTTGCTAAGAAAATCTGGTCCCACTCCATCCTCCTTTGGTTGGGTCCCTCTCCAAGTTCTCCTCTCCCTTAGGCTCACGTTATGAAAAAAGACATTTGAGGCCCTTCACAGTGTGACCTCAGCACAAACTTAGCAACCTCAGCTCCACTGTCCACCAAACTGAACCCCATATGCTAGTCAACGAGACTATTCACCATGCAATCTCTGTGCTTTATGCTCTCCAGTGCCTGTACGCTTGCTTAGCCCATCTCATCCACCAGAAGTCCCCTCCTCCAACCTCTACTTCCTCCAATCCCTGCCATCCTTGAGAGCCTGGGTCAGATGCCATCTGCTTCAGACGGTCTCAATCCAACCAAATGTAACCTAACTCTCTCCCTGTCTGTCTGTCTGTGTCTCTCTCTCCTATAAACCAGTGGGCATTTACATGGCCAGCTACTACAGAGACGTGTACCTCCCAACGACCCCAGACTACAAGGGCTAGAATGAGGTCTTACCCATCCTCGGCTGCACACAAAGCTTCCAGCACTGCACCTTCCTCACTAAATACCAGCTGCTTGGACAACAAAGAGAGAGAAGGAATGGAAAATGAAGGAACGGGTATCAAAACACAGAACTACAGGCTGATCATACCTGTAGGGGGCCTCTGAGGACTCTTGGCCCAGAAGAGGAATGTGTAAGGATGGGTTGGTGGTCAGAACCCTGCCATGTCCTCCAGCAGGGAGCCAAGAACTCCTGGGGACCAAGGTGGTCTATAGCCTCATGGCTTAGGCCTGTGTGTTCCCCATTCAGGGCGCAAAGGTGTCAGCCTGAGCTCCTTCCATGGCATGAGCCATGACCAGGAGAAGAAAGAACTCAAGTCTCAGCCACCTGTCAGGGCTCCCCTCTGCTGGATGGAAAGGACCAAGTCTTCAGCATTCTCCCCAGACGCTCAAGCTCCGGCGCCATCTGCTGGCTACGGGAAGCACTGCACCCAGACCTCCAGTCCCAAGGGCACTTAGGGGACCAAGGTGGAGACAATTCCCAACCCTCTCCAGACACAGGTCACTTTAGAGTCACCAGAAATGACCCCACCTCCTAGAGTTCGGGCTTCTAACTGCCTCCCAGAACCTGTCCTTCAGGACTTCAACCTAGCATTTAAAATAAAAGGAACAGAAAAAAAAAAAAAAAGCAAGTTTCCTTCTGGTAATACCAGCTGAGAAACTTCCAAGACACATACGTACAGACACAGAAAACAGATTTCCAAAGTCAACCACAGAAAGACGATTATCATATGATCTCTCTGATATGTGGAATTTGAGGCAGGGCAGGGGGCTGTGGGGGGTAAGGAAGGGCAAAATGAAACAAGATGGGATCGGGAGGGAGACAAACCATAAGAGATTCTTAATCTCACGAAACAAACTGAGGGTTGTTGGGGGGAGGCAGGTAGGGAGAGGGTGGTGGGGTTATGGACATTGGGGAGGGTATGTGCCATGTTGAGTGCTGTGAAATGTGTAAGCCTGACGATTCACAGACCAGTACCCCTGGGGCTAATAATATATTATATGTTAATAAAAATAATTTTAAAAAGAAAAAAGAAAGAAAACAGATTTCCAAATTATTCCTGCCAGAGAGAAGCTCTGTTACATAGGAGACAAAGCACTGGCCTGGTAATCAGAAGATCCAAGGCCTTGTCCTGTCACTCACACCCTTCTCCCTTAGCTCCGTGGCCCCCACCCCCACCCCCACACAGCGCTATGCCAGGACAGTGCCCCTTTACTCGCTCCCCCTCCCGTGGACTGGCTGCTGTGCAAAGATTTGCAGATTCAGAGTCACATGTAGATCATGGAGTTCAGAGGAGATGCAAACTCACTGTCATCTCCCACACCCTGCTGGGGACACCCCCGGGGGCCAGCCTCATCTGCCTGGGACAGGGACTGGTATGAGGACACTAAGGACCCTGTTAGGCCTCTGATGGTGGGAAGGTTCCTCAAGAGGCGTAGATGCAATCAACCAGTGCAGCCGCAACACACCAGCCTCGAGCTCTCTGGCCACCCTCCCTGCTCTTCCGGTCTGAGATTTAGGGGCAGCCGTGGAGACTTTGATCTCTAGGGGCCTTTGAAGCCCATCCAACAACTTGAACCCAGCCAGCGGGTGGTGGTACATGAAAGCCTGTTTCCTGTAACCTCATTCCTGAAACCAGGGATGAAACAGAGCTTTCCACGGAGGGTCCCAGGGCAGGCGTGGAGCCCACCATCAGTGGGATCCACTCAGACCTCTTCCTGGCAGGGCGAGCTGCTCCCCATCAGTGTCATGGGAGAGGCGGGAGGAGGAGGGAAGTGCAAAGTGAGTGACTTTCCCCGCCCTTACACCCCCACATCCACCTACCCTGCTTCCCACACAGCCCGTTTCCCCTCCCTCCACCCACAGACTGAGAAAGTGTGTCACCAGGGAACAAATGCTATCTCCCCCAAGGGAGGTGGAGGAGGCAGGGGGAGAGGAAAGATTTCATTTGTGCGCCTGTGGGGGCCCCGGTAAGAAACCAGAGGCTGCCGAGCTTCCCAGCCGGGAAGGACGCCCCCTCAGAACCGTGACCTTGACATTAGCCTCCTTTCTCTGAGGGCTTGACACACCTGAGGGGCAGAAGCCACAGGCCACCAAGCTCAGGACCACACGGCCAGGGGAACTTAGAGAAGAGGACCTGAAGATCCAGATGAACTCTTTTGACCCCAAACATTCCTTGGCCAGCTGGGTGTGCCCACCACGGGGCTGACACCCCAAACTTCTCATCTCTCTTCACCCTGATTTACAGGGGGCCACTGACCTGCTCTCGCCTCCTCCTCTGGCTCTCCACAGACAAGCCGGCCTCCAAGGGTTAATCTGCTGCCTTCCTTCCCTTGCAGCCGCCCCCACTGAGCCGCCACACGCCAGCAATGATGCACTTCACACTGTTATTACAGTGATTTATTTAGTTTTAATTTGGGGTGAATCTCGTGCTAGAGGAAGCGGGAGGCCAACGGTCTTGGCAAGAAGCAACGCCACGCACAGGCCTGTGCCATGCCAATCCTGTCCCCTCTGCCGGTGTCCCTCCATCCTAACAATGCTCCTCCTGGCCTGTGGCCTTGCTCCTGAGATAAACTGGGAGGTTATCTCCTCCACCTAAGGCTTTATCCCTCATCTGCAAAATGGGGTAAATAACAGTACCTACCTCCTACGTCTGCCGCGAGGACGAGGTGAGCTACTGCAGGGAACGCGGTACAGCTGTTCTCACGCAGTGAACTCTCAATAACGGACAGATGTTATTGGGATTGAGCCCTATGAATCACATTACTTGGTAGAATAAAAGCAATCGCCTATCAACTATTTCAGAAGGTTCGAGTCATCTTTTTCACGGAGGGCCACAGAGGCGCCTTGTAACCCCTTTGATTTCACTCCTGAGAGTTGCTAAGAAGTACATTTCCGCTCTGGGGTGAAGCCCCAGCCCCCAACAGCGAGAGCACAGCAGCCCAGACCCCGGCCCTCCTGGGCCCGCAGCTACCTCCTTGCCCAGGTCCTCGCGGATGACTTGGCGGACCTCATGCATGCTGCTCTGCGGGGCCTGGCTGTGGAGCACCTTCAGGGTGCTGGTGTACTCCTCCGGAAGCAGGTAGTCCAAGGCTCCCAGGTGCTGGCCCACCTTGATGAAAGTGCCCCGGTTGGCACAGCAGAGCTCGCAGAGACGCCTGGCAGAACGGAGGTGCACCTGCAGGGAGAGAGGCCGGGGCCAAAGAGGTGTGAGTGCCCACTGTCCACTGGACATCGGTCCCTCCTCCGGCCCCCTCTGCTGGAAAGCCCTGATTCACTCCCCAGAGCGAGTGAGCAAGTGCACACGCACACACGCACACACACACACACACACCGCTCCACTCGCCTCCTGCCTCAATGCTCTCCTTCAGCCTCAGCACCCAGGGCAGTCAATCCCAGCCTCAGCCTGAGGCCGGCCGCCCGCTCCCATGTTTCTGGTCGTCTTCCCATCAAAACTCACCTGGCCCAGGAACCAGAGCATTCATTCAAGGCTTTTCACCAAATCTACTAATGATTCAGTTGAGGGCGCACGGAGTAAGTGTACGTGCCACCCAAGCCTCAGACACACGAACAACACTATCTGCTTGGAGGTCTACAGTTTCTAAAAGACGGCCGTTTGTATCATTTCTTTGAATCCCTATAGCAGCTCAGGGAGTCAGGTACTGGTATCTTTAAAAATAAAAAACCCAGGTGTTGTGCTTATGAAGAAATGCTAATAGAGGTTAAAGGAAGGTCTAGGAAATGCTCCAAACCTAGGGCTCTTTAAACTCAGCAAACTTTTGCATGGATCTCATCTTAAATGGAAGAAAAGTCTTACTGGGAAATGTCAGGTGCATGGAGCACACAGCTGGGCCTAGTACAGGGCAGGCTGCCTGATGCCCTCTGTCCTTCCAGAGCTAGGGGGTGGCCCCCTTAGGTCCTAGGCTGTGTATCCCCCCGTTCTCACTCCAGTTCATTGGAGGGTCTTGGAACTGGGAGGGCCCATCCTTCCTGGCGCTACAGCTTCTGCTGCAGGATGGGGCCATGGGCACAGACAGAAGGGAGCCCAGTGCCCTGTGGGAAGCTCTTCACCCCCAAAAAATCAACCAAGAGGGGAAACACCTAAATGGACTTGCACTCTCTTGAGTGTCACAGAAGACGCCAACATAAGCACATACTGGAGGCAATAAACCACCTGAAGAGTTAAGTAACTTCTGGCAACAATAATGGAAGAAACAGTTAAAGATCCCCTACAATGAGTTGCCAGGTGAGCCACACAGAAAACTGTTACTTCAGAAATTAAAATACCACCACAGCCCTCAACAGCCTTGTCCCAGCAGCCAGGGAGCCCATCTGCCCCGTCCGGCCACAGCAGACTGAATGCCCCAGCCTCCAGCCCTGGGAGCTGTCCTGAGGTCCCCCCCCCCACCCCCCGGCATCCACTACAGGCTCTGCTGGACACCACCACCTCGCACCCCAGTGCACTCTCGGGGGGCCCTATATGCACATGGCTCCTTCCCCCGGGGCAGAGTCCTCCAGCCTGGATGTGGGTACCTGGTCCAAACTGGGCCACAGGGAGACTTTTTTCCCCGAGAGGAGGACACAGGAGAAGGAAATTAATCCTAAGAAATGAAGGGAGAGAGCATGTTCTTAGATGGGTCGGAGGACTGTGGGAAAGGGGTAGAATCTCTTTAAGACTTTGCAGCTGGGTACTCAGGGGACCAGTGGCAGATGGCGGGAAATCAGTGCTACGGCCAGCCAAGGCCATGCTCAAGCCCTGGCTTTGAGGAAGCAAGAAAGAGGGCAAACGTGATCAAACACAGAACTGGGCATTTCTTCACAAAGCAAAGGCCCAGGCTGGTATGAACAAATGACTTTTTGGAGCTCAAATAATCATTGCCCAAATTCCAGCCCAGAAAAGGAGAGGCCATAGTCAATGGCAGAGTAAGAGGCAACAGACAGGCATCTACAACCTGTAAGTCCTGAGACACAGAGCGACGGCTGCCATGTACAGCCCGACAGTCCTGGCTGGGCTGCGCTGGTGCCAGCCGCCCTCTCCCCTAGGGAGACACACTCAGCCCCCACACCAGAGCTGCGCTGGAGTCAAGGTCATTCAGAAGCAGAGGACTGGAAGGTGGGGTGAGGACACGCCCCACTTTCCCCTCCCTGCCCAGTAAAGTCCTCCGCCACGGTGTATTCACTGGGACTTCCAGCAGGTTCCGTGCCCCCAGCACAGTCGGGAAGCCGTGACCCAGCCACCAGCACACGGAGAATGACTCCCAATACCAGGATCACACCGAGACCCGTGGGAGCTCAGGTGCAGGGAACAGGGGGCTGGAATCAGAGGCCGGGCTCAGCTAGGAAGAGGGCAAGTGGGTGTGTGCTGCTGGGCCCATGGCGTCCAAGCTCCAAATTCACCCCTCCACGCCCTGCACTGTGACCTCGGGGCTGCACCCTGTCCTTTCTCCTTCATCAGATGGCTTCTTACTTGGCTTTGTCAACACTGAGGCCACAGCAGGGCAAGGAGTCTCTCTTCCCAGTGCCAGTGCGGCCTTTTAGCTCAGCAGCCAGCAGGCCAGTGGTTTTGGGGTGCTCCCTGCAGTGGCCTTCCCAGACCGGCCCACCCTCACTAAATTCCCCACTACCAGGCAGGCTCCTGTGATGGACCGACTCAGGCCCAGGCTCTCTAGCAAGTGTTCTGACCAGGCCAGCAGCATGCTCCCATGGACCGCGCCTTCCACTGTGAGTCTCCTCACCACAGGGCAGACCTCCACCTCAGCCTTGCCGGAGGGAGACCCTCGGCTGAGTTCTGCCCTTGCTCCCTACCCCCGAGCCCCAGACAGGGTGGGTGCTTTATGTGCTTGCTACTTCTCCATCCATAGAATCTTCTTTTACTCCTTTTAGGAGTTAACGACCTTCTACTTTCACCAGTTAATAATCTTTTCTATTAGGTTTTCCCCACTTGAACCCTCTTGCACCGTTGGTGGGAATGCGAACTGGAGCAGCCACTGTTGAAAACAGTATGGCAGTTCCTCACCAAGTTATAAACAGAGCTGCCCTGCGATCCAGCAATCACACCAGTAGGTATTTACCCAAAGCATGCAAAAATACTAATTCAGACAGATACATGCATCCCGGTGTTTAACAGCGGCATCTACGCTAGCCAGATTATGGAAAGAGCCCAAGTGCCACTGACTGATGAATGAATAAAGAAGATGTGATACATATATGAATATATATATATATTTGTGTGTGTGTGTGTGTGTGTATATATATATATATATATGAATATTACTCAGCCACAAAAGAGAACAAAATCTTGCCATTTGCAACAACATGGGTGGAGCTACAGAGTATTATGCTAAGCAAAATAAATAAGTCAGAGAAAGACAAATACCCTATGATCTCACTCGTATGTGGAATTTAAGACACAAAACAAATGAGCAAAGGGGAAAAAGAGAGAGAGAGAGGCAAACCAAGAAACACTCTTAACTACAGAGAACTGACGGGGTGCTGGTGGAGGGATGGGAGAAACAGGGCACAGGGATTAAGAAGCACACCTGCCGTGATGAGCACTGGAAGACTGACGGGAGTGTTAAGTCCCTGTATTGTACACCTTACTCCAATATTACACTCTATGTGAACAAACTGGAATTGAAATTAAAACTTTAATAAATAAATAGTAAATCAAGAAATAAAAGACTGGGGGCAACTGGGTGGCTCAGTGGGTTAAAGCCTCTGCCTTCGGCTCGGGTCATGATCCCAGGGTTCTGGAATTGAGCCCCACATCAGGCTCTCTGCTCCACAGGGAGCCTGCTTCCTCCTCTCTCTCTCTGCCTGCCTCTCTGCCTACTTGTGACCTCTGACTGTCAAATAAATAAATAAAATCTTTAAGAAAAAAAAAAAAAGAAAGAAAAGACTGGGTTCCATTCTACACATTTTAATACAGTGTGCGTTATGCAGTTTACTTACATGATAATCAGTGTAAAATAAGATCTCAGAAATTAAACAAATAAAATGGTTTCCCCCGTCAGATTACTGGCGTGACTGGTCCCTGATGGATACACAGGATTGGCCCCTGAAATCCAATTTTAATAAATTAGGATAAAAAGGAGGGACTTCAGATCAAGAGGACAATACAGCAGCTCATGTCTGCGAGCTGAAGACCAGCTCTACCGTTTTCCTTAAACTCAATTCATATCTGTTTGTTTCTGCTGCCGGCAGCACTCAGGAAGCACCAGCCTAGAGGATGTTAGTGGAAAGATTTAAAAAAAAAAAAAAAGAAGAGAAAGCAAGCATCAGCCCCCTGGCCCTCACCAGCAGCTGGAGCCAGACCTACGTGGGGTCTCTTGGCACAAAGTGATGGTCACTTTCAAGATAATGTGTGGACAATACGGGGAGCCCTCTCTGCTCACAGAAGCCCAGGAAAGCTGGTTGAGGCCCAAATCACTGGCCTCTTGGTACATCAGCCATAGGTGCACGGACCGTGTGTGTCCCCTGAACACTCTGTGTACCTCAGGGCAAGCTGTGCATATGCCATAAATGTAGATTGATGATGACTCTGGGTTACACACTCACAAAACCACCACCCCTGAAGCTGAGTCAGCATATATGGCAAATGGCACCCACATTTCAACTAAAGAAGCCCCAAAGTCACCTTCAACCAGCTTCTTTATAAATTCTCTCTCTCTCTCTCTCTCTCTCTCACACACACACACACAGAGAGGTGAGGGATACTGCCACTCACCAAAAACCAGTAAATGTTTTTTTTAAGACCAAATGACACAAATGCTGATCTCCAGGGTCCCTTTTCAGCTCCTGCTCCAGGGGCTTCACTGTTCTTCAGAAGCAGAAGACCAGTCCCACCATTCACCTCCTTAATCTGATACCCTAAGGGGCTGCACCTGCTGGTGGCAAGGACTATCCACAAGGATTTCACAGTTCTCTCCCTGCCCAGGGACCTTTCCTCCGACAAGGAGTCTGCTTGATGAAAAGGCAAAGCTTCTGGAACTTCAGGACCTCAGCATTCCCCTGAATCTAGTCCTGTATGCTACACATCTTCAGGCATTGCACTTACACAGGCCCCAGGAAGGACTCGCAGGCAGGTGAAAGTTAGTGGTACCAGTTCTGTCCAGCAGAGGCTTCTGCAGTGATGGAAATATTCTGCATCTGCCCTGCCCAATAACATAGCGGCCACCA